TCCCAAAATCCATCTTCAGGATCTTTGAAATCTTTTTAAATTTGTCCTAGATGAGAATCTTGGCCATTTCAAGGCAAATTTATTTGATTGCGCCAAAATCGTCATGCAGGCCATATTGTAATCCTCCATAGGAAAAAAGATGGTGGCTGTACATTTTACCACAATACCATGCGAACCTAATACAGCCCGTAAAGTACAAGGAAAGCCATATTTTTGCAGTTTTTTCCCTGTGCTAACAACATTGTGTCTTTAAGGCTTGAAGGTTTTAGAACTTTTCTGTATGTTTTTATGAGCGTTGCTCAAGTTTCCGTGCACTAAAAATTATGGATAAATGTACCAGTCGCCATCTTTTTTTCCTACGGCAGATTGGAGTGTATTTTTGACTTTGAAATGCTGCTTGAAGATTGCAAAATGCGAACTCGTAGTTGGGAGACCTTGAAATGCTGCTCGAAGATGGCGAAACGCGAACTCATGGTTACAAGAACCTTGAAATGCTGCTAGAAGATTGCAAAATGCGAACTTGTGGTTGCATTAGAACCTTGAAATCAAGAATTTCATGTACCCGGCAACACTCCAGCCGTTTTGCGAGCCCGCGTTCCTTGCCCCACATTACCCAAGACCACTGTGCGTGCCTAGTTTCATCAAAACGAGAATGCTTTGCATACTAGCTAGCCTGCGAATGCAGACGTATTTCCAGCTGTTGCTTGTCTTCGCCAAAAATAATGTCTGGTGAATGCTTGCCAGGAAATGATTTCTGTGATGTAGGAATTTTAAGCCAGTCACAGTTTAGCTCAAGTAGCCCCAGAACTACTGCGCGGGGTATTCGCTGCGAGGAGCACTCGAGTTTCATTCTATCATGGAATCTGATTGGCCAAGGAGAAACAAAAGTCATTACGTCACAGAAATTGTTTCCTGGCTCAGGTTCACAGACGTTATTTTCGGCAGAGACAAGCGACAGCCGGAAATAAGTCTGTGTTTGCAGGCTACATTCTACCAACACATTTCTTACTTTTCTGAAATTCCTTGTATGTATACAAGCGGGGAA